AAAAAAAAAAAAAAAAAAATCGACGCTAAGCTCCTCCCCCGATCTCTCGGCAACAATCAACGATGTATATATCTCCTGATCCCTTGGTTTCCCCTGGAGTATCAATTTAATCACGTCCATGTCGAGGAGGTGACTCCTCCTCGTCGTCCGTATATATATATATACACGACCGGCCCCGTGTGTACGAGTACAAGTAGCTCACCTTTGTGTCCTCGACCTCCTTACGTGCGTACACCGCCATGCGCGTCTCTAACACACTTGCAAGGGTATAAAGGGGGGGGGGCTTATCCCCTCGTACGTGTAAGGTATACCTGTGAGGTGTGTCGGTGTACGAGACGCCAGGATGTAGGTAAATCCTGGGTACGGCGTACCATGGTGCGTGTGTGGGTATACACAGCGAGGCGTATAAGCCGGCGTTAATCGGCTAATCGGGCGATGAGGAGCAATACATACAGGAAGACGAGCGGCAACACCTTGGCTGTACCCATACTATATATATATATCGTACCCTATCGTATGTATACGTGGGTAAGGCGAACTGATTCCTTTGACGCCAGATGTTTATCCCCTGGTCCTTTGGAAGGTCCGTTTTTTTTTTTTTTTTTTTTTTTTTTTTTTTTTTACACACGACAAGTTGGTAATAAGCAGTTCCTACGATTCGACCACGGATTCTGTGGCAAAATATATATATTACATCGTTATGGATCGAGATGGCCATCGACTCTTCTACGGGGCGCCTTTGACCCGGGCCATATCGTTGACAATGCATGCATACTTTGAAAATAGAGTTAAAAGTCATCCTACTGTTTCCGTATCATCTTCCAAACGGGGCACAATAACACGTATCAGGGGTGGGGATAGAAAAAAAGCCCAACTTTTGGTTGAACGATTAAATAACGAGCAGATGTGGTGCTGATCGCAATAATCTCGCGCGTAAAAGGCCCTCGGCGTCCACCGAGAGAAAGAGAGGGAGATGGCAATCGTGAGATCATCGCGCGATCAACGCTCGCACACATACGCGTGTCCACTCTTGAGGCTACATACTGCCGATCGACTATATTATTGTTGTTACGATGACTTGTCGCGGGCAGCCAACCGTAGCCGAATATCGTTCGATTGATCCAGCCTCGCGCGCACCTCGTCATTAAACTTCTCCCCTCGGTTTCAACGTCACGGGTATACGTACATATATTATATTATGCGCGTCTCCAGAGGCGGTTATTCATCGAGGAAAAAGCGCTGCTTGCTGCGGTAATCTGGTTTTAAGCTGCGCGTATATGTATTTAGGTAATTTTACTTTATACCTAATACGTGATGTTGTATGACACGTGTGCACATACGCAGCTGCGGGTCATATCTAATCTCAATGGAGTCGGGGATTGATAAATATATATACCTGTACGCGTAGTCGCGAGATCGAGTGGGTTAATCGCTGAAAATGTACTCATGGTACCTTTCGAATTCTTCTCGTCGAATTGTAGTTTCTTTTTTTTTCTCCACAAAGTCATAGATTACGGCCTTTGGTCAAAGTATATGTACTGTATGTACTGTACACTCTATATTATAGAGGAAATGTAATGCTATACATTAACCAGTGGTAAAAACAATGTCTACAATTATGAAAATAACTTTATGCAACGCTTGAAAAGATTGACAAGTGAAAATTGATGATCGTTTCAGAGTCAAGCCCTGGCTCTGACGCACAAGGCATCGCCACCGTCGCGTCCGAGCAGCGTACCATCGCTGCCGCGCAGCCCGGCGCCCTCCTCCCAGGCCCAAGCGCCCCAGCAGCGCTCCGAGTCCCGGAACTCGACGACCACGCACCGGCAGCGCTCCTCGCCGGCCCCAGCGGCCACCCCGGCCCACCAATCCCAGGCGCAACAGCAGACACAGCCACCACCACCGGCACCACCGCCACTGCAGACACAGGCCGTAACCGCCCCGGCTACGTCCGTCAACCCCCAGCCCTTTGCCGCCCACAACCAGCAATCGCAGGCGCAGCACCTCAAGCAGGAACTCGCTGCCAGTCCCAGGCAGGAGGGCTTCGACCTCAGCAAAACGGCACCCGGACCCGGTAAGTCACATACCCGTTTAATCCAAAGTTTACCGCCCCTCCCGCTAAACACGTATGGGAAACACTTTGACGGACCAAGACGCCATCCCTACACAGCCGAGAAAAATGATTCGAGCCTTTTATATAAGGCTTGATCCGAAGCGCAAACGAATTAAATCACCTTCCGGGCCATTAATACGTCGGGATACGGTTTTCATGTATCTGTACGTCCCGTGTGCTCACCGGAGCATGATCAAATTGCTTTACGAGAGGGGGTCACCGGCCTTTTTTTTGTTCGGGGAAAGAAAAATGTTTACGCGCACACGTTTGAGCTATCGCATATTATATGTGTGCGCGTGCAACGTTTTACACTCATCCTATTATATACTCGAGGATCAACTATCGCGTTGAGTGTGTTTAATAACTGCTGTTGGATAAGTCGATGGCTTTGATTTGGAGGATATTACGTGCCGAGGAGGCCGAGATTTTCGTCTCCGTAGCTTAGACTCGAGCAAGGGTGATTGGGTCATTGTGACACAACCATATGGTAACAATGTACTTGGAAGAAAAAAGTCTGGTTGATGCGTGATCGAATGGTGAGCTGGAAAAAATGGAGGGCCTCCACATAGGCACCTGGTCTTTTATATTCGCGTTCTCCGATCGGCTGGAAAAGAAAAAAAAAAAAAAAAAGAGAGAAAAGTTTGGAAAAGAGAAAGGGAGAAAAGCTTAATCCACGGGCTGAAGGTATCAGCGGATTACGGCATTTACGGCTTAAAATCGCGCCCAAAGAGGAGGCTAATTATTGCCGGCGAACGAGCCCGGCTTATATACGTGCCCGTAGACGATGATCCATCCGCGTGTGTTTTTGCATCAATTAGTCGACTTAGCCGCGCGGCCCTTACCTACACCCCATCGCTAATGACGCGCACGGCTCCTTTTCATCGCTCGACGCGACGCGCAATTTTTGCAAAACCCAAATTTTTACGAAAAAAAAAAAAAATAGGTTTGCGCTCCGGCTGTTTGATTCGATGTGAAAATTGAAACAACATATTGTACACGTTGTACCTACACGTACATTTCTCTCTTCGCCGCTCGTGCATATACTCGTAATCCGATCCGTTAAGCCGCGACTCCCCTTCGCCCCGTACGTCTTTCGTAATTTTTATCCGACGCGTCCATATACGTACGTGAATATTAATGCGCGCTCTCTCTCTCCATTTGTGAAATCCAATATCGCGCGTTCGACTCCCCGCACTAAAAGTCGGTGCTCTAATTGAAAGCAAAAAAACCATATTGCCACCGTCCCCCCCATGCACTTTGAAAAACAAATAAGATGAAAAAAAAGCACTGTTTACCCGGGTGACTTCAAATGGACGGATTAAACACACCCTCTGCATGTGTGTAGTGAAAAGAAAAAAGAAAAAAAAAAAAAAAAAAAAAAAAAAGGAAAAGACATCACTGGAAAATAGGTACAAGGGTATATAAAACGCGCAAGTAAAGGCGAAAAATCAGTCGGTCGTTTAGCAACTCAAAACGCAGCTCATCCGCATCGTGTCACCGCATCGGCATACATATACCGATCGTGACTACAACGGTCGTATAGCAAAAGAGAATGAGGGGCAAAAAAGATGCGCTCGAGTGACATAAAAAACGCAGCAGTGGTTGCATTAAAAGGCGGGCATTCATACGTAGTCTATACATGCGCCGCGCGTCACAGTACAGGCACCGATATGCACATTTACGCGGAAAGAGAGTAGTCAAGCGAGGCCCACACGGTATATATGGGCACCTGTACCCACACATGGGGGACTACGTTGCACACATACACCCACTCGAAGATGTATATCATATGGAGAGAGAACGCAACGGACGTGCGAATGATAGAGGCGGAGGTGAGGGTGGGACGGAGGATAATCCTCGGTAAAACCACGCGGGGCTGTATATATGGCGTGGAGCCTCTACACTGCAGCTATACCTACACAACACACGCACGAGAGCACTGTGCACGCAATGTAGGAGGGGGAGGGAGGGTCACGGGCACTGACCACGGTACGGATGTGCCCCTGCCCTCTTCCTGCTTGGCTCATCCGCAACCACATATACCAATAACAGCACCGTAGCTATGTGCAATGTATCGTCGATGGTCAACTTCCCATTGGCTTCGAGGACAACCGATCGCTCGGAGATCGCTAACGAGTTTCAAGAGACACGAGCGCGTGAACCGTGTTTCGTTACGGTTGGCAAATCATAATCTCATCCAGTAACTTTTAGACTCCCGAGTTGGGAGCAAAGGGATCATTTGGAAATAAGGAAATCGGCAGCGCAAACAATACCATGTACGACAAAAGTATAACCACCCTCCGAGGAGAGACGAAAATAAGGGCATCGGGTATAGAAAAGGGCCTCTGCGCCAACTCACGTGCGTGCAAAGTAATCCGTTAAGCCAGTTATACATACCTGTGTACCGGATCTGGAGAGCGCACGAGGCCTACCCTCGTGTCACGCACGCGAAAACCCACCCTCTATAGTCTGCAGCCGATCCATTTGCCTCTTCGATGTATTTGACGTAGAACGAGGAGACGGAGTGGATATGGGTGTCGAAACGATCGGGTTTTCCCCAGAGAGACATCAAAGCTACCACCAAATGTTGGGCAGCCACGATGTACGGTGTATTGTAACAAACGCGGTATGCACATAAGTACCTACTCCTCTCGCCTTATCAGCTGCTTTATTTTTCGTTCAAATTTTCTCTCTTGTGCAATACACCCACGCGTAAATCTATTGTTCCCTCGCGTGTGTGTATGTGTGAGCTACTGCTGTTGATGCATGTATGTACGTACAGCCCTGCTGGTGCAACAGAGAGCGACATGTTTGCCGAGAGCCGCGAAGGGATTAGTGTACATTCGTACGTATGGTCGCGCTGACGAAACTCCTGCACGGAAACACACTTCCGTTTGTTTTTTTTGTTTTTTTTCGTTTACGCGTGTACATTGTATACACATGTAATTATACGATCACGCGTATTCGTTCGAACTCTTTTTTCTTTATTTCCCGAAGATGCTGCCGTCATAAATCTTCGATGTACCGTGGGATATCAGTGGCTGTACGCGGATCGGCGATAATGCCGAACGTGATATTTTGTGGTTGTTCACACGTAAGTATACTTTGAGCAAACGGATTTTTTTTTTTTTTCTCGCTTCGAGGAAGTTTTTGATTGTTCAGCGCAAGGTCTACGAACTCTCGGCGAGTAATGACAATAATCCGCGAGAAAACAAAAAAAAAATTACTTTTTGTTTTTTTTTTTTCCTCAACGACTGAAACGGAGCTTCAACCCGATAAGTATTAAAATATGTCGCGTGATTGGAAATGCACACGAGGCTCTTGCATTCATCATCCCCAGGGTAATTGTGCACCAAAAATTTCTCTCCTCTCCCGATCCCGGGAACCGAAAAATCCTCGCGTTCCCCCGTACATACACGTTTATTTCCCTCAACTTTGTCTGAAAAAGTGGACCGCATTGTCCGTGTAACTGCCCGAACGGGACATCACGAAGATTTTCAAAGGAGCGAAAACACGCTCTGTGTGCAGCTCGTACGAGACGCACGCGGGACCGGATTAATCGTCGTTGGGTCCCTGCCCTCAGCTCCCGATTATTTCGCAAATTGCCGGTTAAGGTCCGCTCCCGGCTATTACGGCTCTGCGGAAAAGAACGCGGCTCTCCTTTTTTTTTTTTCTTTCGCGAAGAAACTGCACCGATAATTACACTCGACGAGCTTACTTGCCACCTCCTCTCTTCTTCGTGTACGCATATACCGGGAGGGGCGCAAAAAAAAAAAAAGGGGGAAGAGAGAGAGAAGCTGAGCTTATTCAATAAATTCAAAGAAACACGCAACCTTTTGACGAAAAATCTCGGTGCGCGTAACGGGGCTCGCGTTGTCCCTCGAAAACGCCGGTGCTCGCACGCGAAGCGACACTGCACGCATATGCACCCGTGCGATTATAATAATTGACCGGAAATCGGCGGCCGGAGCGATCGATTTGCAAAAAAAAAAAAAAGAGAGAGCTGTCGGATCGTGGAAAAGTCCGCGAGTCACATGTGTGTGTGTGTGGGGAGGAGAGCGCGGGACACGCTCCTGTAGCCCGTTACCGGGAAACCACGGGGCTCCGGAATTACCCTGGCGCACACCACTTTGCGCGGGTGGATCCTCTTCGCGGCACTACCCAGTTAATACCCGTGCGCGTCTACGGAAAGGGGGAGGTCACGCTTTTTGAGCGCTAGCTCGTCATGCCCCTCGGCCCCTTGTACGCGTGTACCTGCTGATGATCGGACGTTAGCTGCTGAATGATTGTAATCCCGCGGTCGGACCCCGATACGACGAATCGAATGACATTGCGCGTGAGCATCGGACAACCGTGGCGGAGCTGCTTTTCCCTCTTCCGGTATATGTATACATGCACTTATACGTATATGTGGGCCCTACCTTTTTTTTTCTGCTGTTGTTTCCCATACGCACGTGTTTCTTTCTTCGTCCCCCTGCTCATCTGGACTTCCTCTCGCGCTTGGCATTTTTGCACGCTCTCTCTTACTCTCTCGTGTGTGTGTGTGTGTCTGGGTTTATACACGAGGACGTCGAACTTGAACAAATGTTGATTTCCTTTTTTTTTTTTTTTTTCATTCCAATCAATGGTGGGCTCGAGGATTTTTTTCCCTAGTTTGTTGTTCCATGGGTTCTCGGGGTTTCGTGGGAGTAGGCAAATGCTTCTTCCTTCGATCGATCGCTAAAGCGCTGGAAAAAGGAGGGTTATTTTTAAACCAATGATTTGTGATTGCTGAAAAATCAAAAGCAAATCTGACGATTTCATCGGGCATCGGGTTTTTTTTTTTTGATTTAGCAACAGTGACAGTCACTCAGAAAAAAAAGATAAACTCACGTTAACGTATACGACGTGTGTACTAGTGGTATCTAAAGCGAGAGATAAGCAGGGACTTGATTTTGTCAACGCAATCGTTGATCCCCGGA